TTGATTACCTATTTTTAAAATATATAATATTAGTTTTGGATAAGTAAAATTTAAGATTGATAATTATTTTATGGCAAACTGATAGCGTATGCGTGAGGGAATTCACTATTGGCCATTAATAATACCGCCGTATATTGTTTATATTATATAATTCTATATTATTAAAATGACTGTATTTTACCTTAAATCTATCGTAACCATTTCCCTTGGGTTTTACTTGTTTATTGTCTGTGGTATACGTAACATCATTATTGTTATTGGCATAATATTTTGCGCTATCTTTTTCTATTTGTTTCTGATTTAATTTTTCATAATTTGCTTTCTTTTTTAAAGATTTTTCCCTCAATCTTTTACTTAACTCTTTAGCTCGAAKATCCTTCTCTATATTCTCCAATTCACGTTTCCTTATAAATTCTTCAAGTCTTAGTTTTTTTTGTTTTTCTACTTCTGCTTTCTGTAATAAAACCATTTTAGCTAATCTTTTCTTCTTTTCATTTTCTCTTAGCATTTTAGCAAATTCAGCTTTTTCTTGTATTGTCATTGATATTAGTGATTCAGCAAGTTTTTGATCTTGATTTATTTTATCCATAGTATTTACAACTAATTTAGATTTTTTGGATGACTTCAAACAAGTAGCTGATCTTTTATTCTTTTTTGTCCATAGAAATTCTCCATTTATGACATATATAGAGTCRGTTTTATTTTTCACTTTATACAATACGTCTACCTCAATACCTTCCCGTTGTAGCTGTAATGCGTCATCATACGCAAAGCGATGATTGTAAGCTCCTTTCCCTGGAAGTTCTGAACACACGGTACGTTTTTTTTTTAGTATTTCTCTATTAAAACCAATACTACACATGGAATATTTCAAAAATGATTTATTTTTTTTATTTTTATTTTTATTCACGTATGCTTTATATTTAGTTGAGCTTTGATCAAATTTTCCACTACTTTTGTAGTTRGATTTGAATTTAGCTTTTAACTTTCGTCTAACATCTTTATACTTCGAAAATTTTCGACTAAAAATTTTTGATGGCATTTTTTGAATTTTTTTTTCAATTTCCATAAGGTTTGGACACTGCAATTTTTCATTAGGATTAATTTTGGGTTTCACTATTTTGTTAGCTATGATWTTTTTTGACAAATCAATTGGTTTATAGTTACAAGATTTTTCGTTTTCACCAGCTTCATAATTTTTAATACTTTGTTTAAGATTTACTACAGACATTTTAGTTTTTAATAATCGATTTTTATCATTTTTACTTTTAATTTTTGGTAATTTTAACTGTTTGCAACTATTTATACATCTCAATAGTGAATCCCTTATCAAACGTTTTGATCCCATAACTTTTGTTGGTTTCATCATGAAAACCGTTTGTTTTTATCAAATCAACATTATTATTATTTTTTTTTTTTGACAGTGAATTTTTCTAAAACAAATTAAATTAAAACTAAACAATTTTTTGAGTTATGAATAATTTACATTTTGAATTAAAATAAATATAAAATATACTTACAAATTACAGAATAAAAATATTAAATGCAAGCATCTCGTATATTTATTGACCTTACTTTATTCAATAAATGCAGGGTTTAATTACCATGACAATGAATWATATGTAATAGATTCTACGGAGTGATCCTTTTAATTTACTCATTATAAGTGTCATCATGTATATGCAAGGAATTATATTATATCCATTATATTAATAAGAACATAAAACACTTATTGAAGTAATGATTTCCTTACAATGATAACCTTAAATAATGTAATGAAAATAAAATATTATTTAGGATTAACTGTTTAAACAGTATAGGATTTACTGCAAAATAAAAATAACTATGAAATTTGACAACCGTTTTATTCGCCCACATCCAATTGTTTTCTYTAAGTTGTCTTAAGTTAGTGGTATGGGGTGTAGACGGTCACCCGCAGTGATAACCGGACTCGAAACAATGTGATTACTGATTGCGACAACGTCCATTGCTCGTGTTATTAAAATATGAAATTTATCAACAATAAAACAATGTCGACAGTCAGCATTTTTCGCGCCACAGTTTTTTTTTACTCCCGCAACATTAGTTTATGATGATAATATGAAAATAAATTTTCGAACAGCATCGATGTATAATTGGAAATAAGCGCATCGTGGCATCAGCAATAAACCGACGTTCTTATAACCATCACATATTCACATAAAATTCACAATCGTAAAATCAGCTCATCGTCGTTATAAGAATTGCTTTATGTGAACTCGTTATAAGAATTGGAAAATAATTAAATTCCATACGTACTTATACCACTACAGAAAGACGAAAAAAAAAATTAATGACACTTACTGATGCTCACGTAACAGACAATATTATCGATGAAATATAATTTAAAATTTTCTGCTATATTTAGTATTTATAGGTAGGTACACGTCAAGACAACATACTTGTGCATTAAGCATTAGGCAACACCATAATACCATTAGGTGATCCCTATTTACTCATATAATATTTTACGTCAAAGTTGTCCATGAGATATAATATTATAATATAATCAAAATATTACGGAAATGTTAATAACAAAATATACAAAATATGTTTTTAAAGTATAATAATTTAGAGCCTATATAAATGGTAGATTACCGTTCAAACTGCTTTTATTTCTAGGAAATGATTTTTGATGTTCATAATTTATAGTGAACAAATTCATCCACCCGTTTTCGATAATTACCAGTTTTTAACATATTATATCAAAATCTGGTATTTTTTTTTTCAATTAGGTTTATAGCTTAAAATAAATAACGATTATTATTGAATGATTTCAATATTCTTAAATAATACAATATGCAATAAGTAATAATAAAAACAAACCGAAAAAATCACGATAACTACATAATATAAATTATAAAAAGATTTCACACCAAGCGACATCACAATATTCCACTACTATCGTTGGCGTCAATTTAATCAGTGATACTTACACGGTTATATCTTATACCCATTGCCCATTGGATTTGTCTCCAGACCTTCGTAAGTGGGTATAATAACATACAATTTGACAATCCGCTATCAATCATATCGGAAACACATAGTCCGAGTAGTTAAATAAAGGTTAAATAAATATAATAACGAGTAACAAATTCCGTTCAATATATATGTAAATATTAGCTGTTGAATACAAAGCTCGTCCTTGTATTCGGTTTTTTTTTTCTTTTCATAATATTCTCACTATTCCGTCCCCGTGGTTGTGCTATACGCGTGCAGAGCTGTTGCGTCGCGGCACTTGATTAACGGCTGCAGTGGCCGAAAACCGGTCACTCGTGAGTGTGTGTGTGTGTGTGTCACCTTTGCCGCGGCGGCAAGTGGAGAACACGACAACAGACCTAACTAATTAGCCGACGCGCTGGCTCGCGCGAACCCGAACGGGTATGGCCCTAATAGCGTTATCTGGTTCGGGCGACGTTTTATGGTGCTCCGACAACGGTATTTGTGTGAATAATAATAAAGAAAGAATCGAACACATTGACGCCGAAAAAAAGAGATAATTTTTCTCGTTAGGTATAACACGCATAAGTATAAAACACCATATAGGTATAATAGGCACCTGTATATTATATGTATACAGCGTAATAATAATTTACCGGCACACGGTGATCGGCGGCGGGCGCCAAACAATAAAATACAAGCGGGTAACGATGGTATAATAATAGTAATAATATACATATTACTTATATACGTATGGTACCATGTTTGGGTAGATAGGACGCCATTTCCGATATTGTACGACGCGGCGCGCGTGTGTGTAATAAAGCTTTATCGTGTTCGGATGTGTCGTGTCCAGCGCGCGGGCAGGACGTTAACAGAGGTGTTCGACAAGTCGTCGTCGATGCCGTGTTGTTCTCGTTCTTATTTTAATGGTCGGTCCCGCAAACAACAGGTGCGGCGGGACCGGGTTTTCTTTTTCCCGATAATTGCCCCGGCCAGACTACTATATCATACCTATAATACTACAACTTAAATTATGCATATAATTTAATAATAATAATATATGTATTTTATAGAAAATTCATCGGGCCGGCAGAGTATTATTATACTTATGTACAGTCACCGTTATACGTAATGTATCATGTACAATAAAGCGCTATATATTACATCACTTTAGGTACTTGTATTGGCTGTATTGCAGACGTATACCGTGTATTGTTATACATAAATCTATACTGTATATACTTATATACACGAACGCATAATATTATTTTCGACAAATACGAAAATCGACCAGTTGGATATTACATAAGTAATAAGTGAGCGATAGTAAATTCCACCGATTTACAGGTAGTCGATTTTAGGGTTAAATTTAGATCATTTAAATTCCAACGATACGTTATTTTTTACCCGTAAACAGTGTAAACACGTAAACTCCTCGGTAAAATCGATTCATGGTAAAAGTCTCGATGGTAAAATCCACAGATCACAATTATACTTAAAATAACAATTAAATAATCTAATTAAAATTGATATAGGTACTAGTACTATATTATGTAGTTTACTTTATTTTAATTTTGTTTAAACACAGAGGGATGTCCTTATAAAGACTTATAAAAGTAAATTTTTAAATGATTACGTTAGGTGTTAGGTAATCTTATATTTTAAAATACTAAAGGTTTGACTTGTATTTTATAAGTACTTCGGCTCTCCTTGCCTGGCAAACGCCTGCACATTCCTACCCCGACTTATATTTACTTATCTCTCWTTCAAGTTTGGGTTGGCTTGCGATACCTGCAGTGTCCCGCTCATACAAAATAACTATCGGGTATCGTTAAAATTAAAACGAACACGTCATTATGATGGCTATAGTCAATTTGCATTAAAATTGACTCAAAATATAAACAACATTTGTAATTTGCACCATTTTTTTAAAAATCTGTTTGAAATTTGCACCAAAATAAGGATATGTAGTTTGCACCATCCACAGGTGGCAAGAAATAGGAATTGTAATTTTCACCAAATTTAAAATCGATTATTTAGTACCAACTTACAAGTTTCTATATATTTACATAACTATTTAATTTAATTGTTAACTAATAACCATGATGTTGATGCTGTAACAATAAAAAAAAAGTTTCTATATCCTAATATAAATTTAGCTTAGTTTTTAGTGTTTTTATTTATAAAATAGCTTAGCTTATACACATATCATTGTAAATTTATATGAAATCGTATTATTTCAAATATAAAAAAAGTTTTCCAATTAAATAAATTGTATGAACAATTAAAAAAAAAAAAAAAAAAAAAACATTTTTTGTTAAACATTTTCTCTGTGTACAACGCCAAAGAATATAATTATATAATTGTATTATATTTGTTTTTTTTTGTTTTATATGCAAAATAAAAATTATGGTTATTTTATTCTAAAATATCTCCCCCCACCCCCCAGAATATTTTAATTTATCTTAACTTCCATATTTCAAGAAAAAAAACTAGAAACTACACTACAAAAATGTTCGTTAAACGACACGAAGCGGTAAGACTAAACGTATAGCTTAGTGTTTTATCAAAATAATAAACTGATATACCTACATTATATAAATATATAATATAACGCGATTACAACTGATAATTGGACGTAAAACGTCAAAATGTTACCAGATAAGGCAAAAAATTATTATTGTCATTCCTGTCCATCTAGTCTTGAAGTCAGCGAGGATATCGAGGAATAATCGAATATTTGATAATCGAACTAATAAATAATTATTTTGGTGCAAATTACAAATTCTATTTACGACTACCTGTGAGTGGTGCAAATTGCATAACTTTAATTTGGTTCAAATTACAAACTCCCATTATGATAATATACCCATGCACAGAACTACAGTACCTAAAGGTAACCTACCTACCTATAATATAATACCATGCAACCATGCAAAACCACTGTGTACGTGTGTCATCCGCAATCTAAATGACTAAAGCTCACGAATTATCTGTTTTTACAATATACCGATAGCCAATGTTCGTATTATTTTGAAATATATCATAGATATGTGTACACAAACCGCCCCGCGGAGATATAAAATCCATTGTTTATTATTAACCTACCTATCACCATAATAGAAGTGTATTTATTATAAAAGTATAGTAGGTATAGGTACCTCTTCACRCGAACTTCAAGAAAAGTAACAGAAATAGTAATGTACAATAAACACAACATTATTGTTATATAAATATACTTATAATATTATCAGTTGAAACATTTTATGCTCTGAATGCTCCATTTTATTTTTTTTTCAGTGTCGTCGAATAACATTTAATTTATCTCAGTGTCGCATGATACAGTCGTCGTTCATCACAGAAATATTTTGTTTTGCGTGCAGTCTA